GGGTGGGGGGCAGGCCGACGGGGTGGGACAGGAAAAGCGGAGAGAAACCGCCCTCTGCAGGTCCCCTCGGCTCCCCCGGGAGGAAAGGCAGCCTGCCCTTCTCCGATTGTCACTTTACTCTCCATCCGGAGCCGCTTCCTCTCTCGCCCCGAGGCTCGGGGTGGCGGGGGACCAGATTGGAGCCGCGGGCTAACTGGGATCAGTCCCATTTCCCTGGGCTTGATGTTCTCTGAATTTTTAGCTAACGTGGAAAGTTACATTTATTTGCATTTGTTTATCACTTGCTCACATAGGTCTGTGTCCCGAAGCTTGGCAGATGAGCGAACTTAGCCAGCATACCCCCGGCCGTGAAGCGGAAAGGTGAAGCGGGGAGAGCAACGAGCCTCTCCACCCCGCCCGCCCCCGGGTCTTGCCAGCTGGACGTTCTTGTGGGGCAGCATTGAGCAGCGGTTAGGAGTGTCGTGGACTTTGGATTCAAACAGCCCCAGCTCCTCTGCTTGCTAGCTGGGTGACTTTGGGCAAATTAACATCTCGAAAATCTGTTTCCTCATTCCTAAAATGCGGGGCTGAAAGTGATCATGCCTATAAAGCCATCTCATATCCATGGTTCTAGAGCATGGTGAGCACCTCAATTTGAATAATCAGTGCCATGCTCTAGTTACCTCTTGACTCACTCGTTTGTGGCAGGAAATGTTCCCAAATTAATAGAAGAATTCAGTGACTAAGAGGATGTAATAGTATATAACACAGGCACTGGAATCAGCTCTGCTGTGTGATCTTGGACAAGTTGCTTCTGTTTCATTTATCTGGGGCAATACCTGTCTGATAGAGTGACTGTCCGGACGAAATAAGTTAGTAAATATGTACTGTAAGGCATTAGAACCTTGCCTGGCACATAGTAAGTGCTCAGTAAACGCTAGCTCTTGTTATCTTGGCTTCCTGTTTAGGATTGAAACCCTTGTGATTATTCTTTCCCTCCCAGTGACAGACTTCTGTGCTTACTTCGCACTTCTGTGCTTTCTGTAGGTTTGTGAACCAGTATTTATACAGAAATACTTTCTATAGAAAGACAGGCATCATCAGATTGTGCATGTTAATCCGGGGAACAGACTGAAAGAGAAGGTCTCAGAGGAGAGAGGCATAAAGGGAGAAAACAAAACAAAGCCATAAGCAAAGCAAGAGTAGTTGCTTTTATTCCTAAAGTGTTTGTTATAAAAGAAACCAGAGGGCAGGGCAGTGTGGCTCACGCCTGTAATCCCAGCACTTTGGGAGGCCGAGGCTGGTGACTCACTTGAGGTCAGTAGTTTGAGACCAGCCTGGCCAACAAGGTGAAACCCTGTCTCTACTAAAAATACAAAATCTGCTGGGTGTGGTGGTGTACGCCTGTAATCCCAGCTACTTCAGAGGCTGAGGCAGCAGAATCGCTTGATCCTGGGAGGCAGAGGTTGCAGTGAGCCGAGATTACACCATTGCATTCCAGCCTGGGCAACAACAGCATAACTCCATCTCAAAAATAAATAAATTAAATAAATAAATAAATAAATAAAAAAGTGAAGAAATTCATTTTATGTAAATATATTGAGAAATATATGTAAATATATGCATGGGAAAATGCCATTCCAACCAAGAAAGGCAAAGAAAGTGACATGCTAGCTATGCATAAGTAACTTAATAAAAGAAAGGTGAGCCTGGCTTGTCCTCAGATAAGAGAATATCCAAGAGAAAAGGAAATTAAAATCCTAGAGGGCTAAATCCAAAAGAGGACAATTGCTGGCATTGACATACTTTAGCTGACCACCTTGATCATGAATTCCAGAAGTTGATATCGTTCTTGTACCTGGGTCTGTCTCTTTCACATTTTCTATTATGTGTTGAAGATTGTTTAGAACTACAGATTCAGCTGAGCGTGGTGGCTCACACTTGTAATCCCAGCACTTGGGGAGGCCAAGACGGGTGGATCACGAGGTCGGGAGTTTGAGACCAGCCTGGCCAACATGATGAAATCCTCTCTCTACTAAAAATATAAAAATACAAAAATTAGCTGGACGTGGTGGCAGGCACCTGGAATCCCAGCTACTCAGGAGGCTGAGGCAGGAGAATCGCTTGAACCCAGGAGATGGAGGTTGCGGTGAGCCGAGATTGTGCCACTGCACTCCAGCCTGGGCGACAGAGCTACACTCTGTCTCAAAAAAAAAAAACCAGACAGACTCAGAGGCTGTCTGGCTCAACTGACTGACTCTACTGATTTGCTGTAACTTCAACAATTTCAACAGTTGTTAGTAATGTTCTCTCAATAAGCATCTTTTTTTTTTTTCTTTAAAATGTGACTGGCGGGGCGCAGTGGCTCACGTCTGTAATCTCAGCACTTTGGGAAGCCAAGGCAGGCGGATCACCTGAGGTCAGGAGTTTGAGATCAGCCTGGCCAACATGGTGAAATCCCGTCTCTACTAAAAATATAAAAATTAGCGAGTGTGATGATGGGTGCCTGTAATCCCAGCTACTTGGGAGTCTGAGGCAGGAGAATCCCCTGAACCCAGGAGGTGGAGGTTGCAGGGAGCCAAGATCACACCAACCCACTCCAGCCTTGGCAACAGAGTGAGACTCTATCTCAAAAAAAAAAAAAAAAAAAAGTAACCTTACACCTATAATCTCAGCACTTTGGGAGGCCAAGGTGGGCAGATCACTTGAGCCTAGGAGTTTGAGACCAGCCTGGGCAACATGTTGAAACCCTGTCTCTACAAATACAAAAAAGTTAGGAGTTGTGGCATGCGCCTGCGGTCCCAGCTAGTCGGGAGGCTGAGGTGAGAGGATCACTTGAGCCCGGGGAGTAAAGGCTGCACTCCAGCCTGGGAGATACAGCAAGACCCTTTCCCCGCAACCAAAAAAAAGTAACCTTAGGGAGGGAGGTGGGGATGATTAATGGGTACAAAAAAAAAAAAAAAAGAAAGAAAGAATGAATAAGACCTTAAGACCTACTATTTGGTAGCACAACAGGGTGACTATAAATAATAACTTAATTGTACATTTAAAAATAACTAAAATAGTATAATTGGATTGTTTTTAACACAAATGCTTAAGGGGATGTATACTGCATTCTCCATGATATGATTTTATTATGCATTTGCATGCTTGTATCAAAACATATCATGAGGCTGGGCGGGTGGCTCACACCTGTAATCCCAGCACTTTGGGAGGCTGAGGTGGGTGGATCACGAGGTCAGGAGATCAAGACCATCCTGGCTAACGCGGTGAAACCCCGTCTCTACTAAAAATACAAAAAATTAGCCGGGCGTGGTGGCGGGCGCCTGTAGTCCCAGCTACTTGGCAGACTGAGGCAGGAGAATGGTGTGAACCTGGGAGGCGGAGCTTGCAGTGAGCCGAGATAGCGCCATCGCACTCCAGTCTGGGAAGATGCCGTCTCAAAAAAAAAAAAAAAATCTCATGCACCCCATAAATATATATATATCCTATGAACCCACACAAATTAAACATTAAAAAAATAAAAATAGGCCAGGCGCAGTGGCTCACGCCTGTAATCCCAGAACTGTGGGAGGCCGAGGCGGGCGGATCACAAGGTCAAGTGATCGAGACCATCCTGGCCAACATGGTGAAACCCCGTCTCTAATAAAAATACAAAAATTAGTCGGGCGTGGTGGCACATGCCTGTAATCCCATCTACTCAGGAGGCTGAGGCAGAAGAATCGCTTGAACCTGGGAGGCGGAGGTTTCAGTGAGCAGAGATCACACCGCTGCACTCCAGCCTAGCAACAGAGTGAGACTCCGTCTCAAAATAAATAAGTAATAATAATAAATAAAATGTAACCTTAAAAGGTTTGCCGATACTTGATTTTTTTTTAATTTTTATTTTTTACTTTTTTTTTTTTTTTTTGGAGACAGAGTATTGCTCTATCAGCCAGGCTGGAGTGCAATGGCGTGATCTCAGCTCACTGCAACCTCCACCTCCCAGGTTCAAGCAATTCTTCTGCCTCAGCCTCCCAAGCAGCTGGGATTACAGACATCTGCCATCGGGCCCAGATAACTTTTTGTATTTTTAGTAGAGACAGAGTTTCGCCATGTTGGCCAGGCTGGTCTCGAACTCCTGACCTCAGGCGATCCACCCACCTCGGCCTCCCAAAGCGCTCGGATTACAGGTATGAGCCAGCACGCCTGGACTGATACATGATTTTTTTTTTTAAGCTAGTCACATACCTCATTTTATTTTTTGAGATGGAGTCTCACTCTGTCGTCCAGGTTGGAGTGCAGTGTCTCC